CACTCTGATATCAACACACACATCATTATTTGTTATATTTATTTACAGTCACCCTCCTGTTAGCTTATCTTTTTTCTGTAGGAGGGTGGTGTGACGAACGCCCATTTGGATGGACTTCGCCACTGGCTCCTGGAGGAGTGTGGAGGCTAGCCTCCTGCCCACTGACTATGGGCCATGCTAAAAGGTTATTAAAATACTTGGTTCGTGGGATTCCCTTGGACTGTTCAGGAACTGAACCAACCCACGAACTGCGGACCACCTCTGAGCTTATTGACCCTCGTTAACCTGTCCTGACACTTCAACCAGTGTGGTTTCTAATTGTGCCGCTGGGTGGCTGCCCTTTGTATGCACGAACATGTGGGAACTGTGTGGTGGCCATCTTGTTTGCGAGAATGCAGGCAGCCGTGTTTGGGCGTCAATCGCGTGGAACTAAAATTGGACACAAACTCCCGAATTTCAGAAAGTGCCGAACTGAACCAAATTTTTTACCCATGCACATCCCTAATGTGCAGTTCAGTTTAAAGCACTGGTTATAGTGTAATGTACATAGTAAGCAAGATAAAGCCACCAGGACTAATTAAAACAAGAAAAGTTACTTTCCACAAATTTTAATATTACGTTTCCTTATTACCTATATGTAGCAAATATCTGTTTGTGACGTCTGACAATTAAAATGTAGAAATCCAAAAACCAAAATGATGTGATAGCCACTTAGAACAAACTTTGTTTTATCAAACTGTGTTAAACACACATACACCTGTATGTGGAGTGTATCAAAAGTAAAGACAAACAAGTCAATGGAACCTATTAAAAGAGCTTAGTGGTGTACTAGCAAAACCATTAACAGATTTATTTAACCAATCATTGTTAACAGGCGTAGTCCCAGAAGATTGGAAGTTAGCGAATGTTGTGCCCATTCACAAGAAAGGTAGTAGGGAGGAGTCGGGCAACTATAGGCCAGTAAGCCTTACTTCAGTAGTGGGGAAAGTGATGGAAACCATGTTAAAGATTATGATTGTTGAACATCTAAAAACACATGGATTTCGAGATCAGAGACAACATGGGTTTACTTTAGAGAGATCGTGCCAAACTAATCGTAATGATTTTTTTGATTGGGTAACTAAAATTATAGATCAGGGTGGTGCAGTAGACATCGCTTACCTAGATTTCAGTAAGGCTTTTGACACTGTTGCACATAGAAGGCTTATCAATAAACTGCAATCTTTAAGTTTGGATTCCAATATTGTTGAATGGATAAGGCAGTGGCTGAGTGACAGGCAGCAGAGGGTTGTAGTTAATGGAATATATTCAAAGCTTGGACTTGTCACCAATGGGGTACCTCAGGGATCTGTACTTGGACCCATTCTCTTTAATATTTTTATTAGTGATATTGCAGAATGTCTTGATGGTAAGGTATGTATTTTTGCTGATGATACTAAGATATGTAATGGTTGATGTTCCAGGAGGGATAAGCCAAATGGCAAATGATTCAGGTAAACTAGAAAAATGGTCAGAATTGTGGCAACTGACATTTAATGTGGATAAGTGCAAGATAATGCATCTTGGACATAAAAATCCAAGGGCAGAGTACAGAATATTTGAGAGTTCTAACCTCAACATATGAGGAAAGTGATTTATTGGTGATTATTTCTGATGACTTAAAGGCAGACAATGTAATAGAGCAGCAGGAAATGCTAGCAGAATGCTTGGTTGTATAGGGAGAGGTATTAGCAGTAGAAAGAGGGAAGTGCTCATGCCATTGTACAGAACACTGGTGAGACCTCACTTGGAGTATTGTACACAGTACTGGAGACCGTATCTTCAGAAGGATATTGATACTTAGAGAGAGTTCAGAGAAGGGCTACTAAGCTGGTTCATGGATTGCAGGATAAAACTTACCAGGAAAGGTTAAAGGATCTTAACATGTATAGCTTGGAGGAAAGACGAGACAGGGGGGATATGATAGAAACATTTAAATACATAAAGGGAATCTACACAGTAACGGAGGAGACTTTATTTAAAAGAAGAAAAACTACCACAACAAGAGGACATAGTCTTAAATTAGAGGGTCAAAGGTTTAAAAATAATATCAGGAAGTATTACTTTACTGAAAGGGTAGTGAATGCATGGAATAGCCTTCCAGCTGAAGTGGTAGAGGTTAACACAGTAAAGGAGTTTAAGCATGCGTGGGATAGGCATAAGGCTATTCTAACTATAAGATAAGGCCACGGACTAATGAAAGTATTTAGAAAATTGGGCAGACTAGATGAGCCGAATGGTTCTTATCTGCAGTCACATTCTATGTATTACTCTCTTTAAATAGTGCAACAAATTCCAAATTTGAAGAAAAAAAAAGGCTGTGCTCTAGCTGAACCTGAATTTAACTGGGTTGAGGTTTCACTTTTTCCAAGACTTTAACATATATATATATATATATATAAAAAAATTTTTTTAAAAATAAGCATTTAACATCGCACACGTCTAACTATTTTGGTCTCATTATCTCTACTCTGCAAATGTCGAGAAAGACATGCCAGCCTAGCCTGCTTACTCATAAAAACACTATAAAAATGTGCAGTTTTATTCGTGCCAAGTCAATTATCTATGTTGTTCCATATATGTGTGCTGTTGTAGCACGCTTACTTTGATTGTCATTCATATTGCACAGAAAATTAAAAAACTGTACATCATGTTGAAAAGGTGATTTTTTATATTTTATTCAATGGATACAAATTCCAGATAAGAGTCAGTAACTCTTTAACCCCTTAAGGACCAAGCTTCTGGAATAAAAGGGAATCATGACATGTCACACATCTTACCTTAAGGGGTTAAATAAAGATAAAAAACTAAATTTACTTATTTTAAATGGGGAAAAAAAATAGTATTGCATTGCAAACCATATTGCAGAATTTAGGTAAAATGTGCTGATCCAATACATTTTTACAAATCAGATCTAGTCCCAGAATGGATGTTTGAGTATAAATACTACAATTAAATGAATTGTACAATTTCATGAGTTTAGCAGGGAATGAAACCTTAATATTTGAAACACAAGTCCACACCATCATCCTGATAATATTGCAGCATCTTAAAAAATAAAAATCGAGACCAGTCAGAAATGTAGTGCACTTATCATTCATTTCCACACCCATAATTTAATAAGGACCTTAGTTAATTATGGGGGAATCAGGATTTTCTCCTGTACACAGGGTGTGGGTCACTGAGTCACCTGAGCTGTGATCTAGTGAAAGCCAAGGGTTCAAAATGTGTCACGGAGAGGAGGTTTCTAGGTGGGACTTAGTTACCAAACTAATCAACATCTACCAATTAAATAGTCGTTTTTTTTTTTACTAATCACACCTTAAACGTCAGGCTTTAAAAAACACAAGATTAATTTCTTTCTACATTCCCCATGCTAGGTGCATTATTAATATGATGTAAAGAGCAGTGATGGTTAATTTATACTTCTTTAGCAACTTTGAATTACACATGTACAGTCTGCAATAGCTAAAGAGCTCCGTGGCCAAAATGCGGATCGTCAACTGTTGCATTTTTATAAAACCTGAAGATCGACCATCCCTGTTACAGATGAAAGTCAATTAATTGAAATCTTCATTTAAAAATGGTATTAAAGCATCATAGGCTAAGCACCATAGCCACTACAGTGACCTGCAGTGGTTATAGTGCCAGTTATCTCTGTTGAGAGTCAAGTCGGTCAAATTTTTTTGACACTTACCTGGATCCCTGGGCCCCTGTGGTCTGGCACTGTCTTCATATACAGCTGAAGAGAAAATTCTCCTTCTGCATTTGATATATCAATTTCCTCTCTAGCTGGATATAATTCTATGTCTAAACGCATCCACTGATGTTCTTAGTCAACAAATTACGTTAACAAGTAGAGTGGGATGTGGTGGTTATGGTGCTTAGAATTCTCATGTTACATCAATCCTATGCATGTAACTCATCAATCCTATGAGTTACATGCATTAGATCATTAGTGATGAAAAGCTAATTGGTTAAAAATGACAACAAATCAATTTTTCAAATATTTATGTAGCAAGAAAATCACATGTTTTGCCTAGTAAATTAAGATAGAAAATAGGTATGATCTATAAACTCATTTTATATTCTTAACCTTATACACTCAGAAATGTATATAAATTAACCAAAAAATGATGTGTTAAGCGTTAAAAAGAATATATAAAATAACTATTAAGTGATAAATTATTACTGTGAGCTGCTACCATACTTATGTGTAATTTCCCAAAAACACACAAAAAAAATCCAACAAAACAGTAAACAGTGGAGTGCTATATTCCCTTATAACTAATTTGTGCAATAAAGTTTGTACTATGTAATATAAATGTTAACAGCACTTACATGAGTATCAAATCTTCCAGAAAAAATCCAATGTGAATATTTTGAATTTTTTTGAAGGCATAAGTCTTAAATTAGAGGGTCAAAAATTTTAAAATAATATTAAGAAGTATTACTTTACTGAGAGGGTAGTGGATGCATGGAATAGCCTTGCAGCTGAAGTGGTAGAGGTTAACACAGTGAAGGAGTTTAAGGATGCGCGGGATAGGCATAAGGTTATCCTAGTTATAAGATAAGACTAGGGACTAATGAAAGTATTTAGAAAATTGGGCAGACTAGATGGGCCGAATGGTTCTTATATGCCGTCACATTCTATGTTTCTATAAAAATAATACAAACATAGTGTAATATCTTAAAACGATGTGGAAAAACATATTAAAAAAATCAAACAGTCACATATATCAGAGCTTTAGTGTTATTATTATTTGTAAATTGCCAACAAATTATGCAGTGCTGTACTATTATATAAGCTAGCTATTGTTATAAAAGCCTCTGGGGGCCTGTTAAGGCAGCCACTCCCCTCAGAGTGAATTTCACCCCTTTGAATCTTCCTCAGAAGAGATAAGATATATAGTGCAATATACAAGGTTGAACTTTAGGTATATATTATACTCACAAAAGGTGGAGCCTTTTTAAATAACTCAAATGGTTGCAAAGGAATATAGTGTTCCACTTGTGGTACATAAATATCACATTTTCTGTCAATATGATCAAATACATTTAAACATATAGAATAAAGACAATAATGTTAATCAACTAGATGCTCCATGGCATTAGAAAGCACTTTTACAAAGTTAGTAAAGTTATGTTAGTAAATCTAGCCAAACAGACATTTTTCCACCCAAAATGTAAACCTTTTGACCTTTGGTCAGTGTTAAAATATTCCACAAAATGTTGTAGGCCTTAGCTTAGTAGCACAGATCACAGATCAATCAGTAAACTTGAACACATTACTGTAGACTTTTGTTAAGTTTATTAAATCAAACAAATAAATATTACACCAGTGTTTAATTATTACAAACCCGAATAAGCCATTATGTGATGTCAAGGATCTATATTACAATACAAATAATTAATTGGCATTGTAAAACCTTTCAAAAATGATTTCCATCACAGTGCCTTAGATAACAGATCTGAAATTAAATATTTAAAGAACTCTAAGTGCCCATTCAAACTTCAACACATGCAGTCAGTTGCCAAAGTGAGAAATCTAAGTGAATTTGAAGTGTAAGGCCAAAGTAGTCGAACTGAAAGAATAGCTGACTTTGAGAATTTTTCCAGTTTGGCTATTTTGGCATTACATTGAAGATTCACTTCAATTTCTAATTTTAGTAAATAAGCCTGATGTTTTTAATTTTTTTATTTATCAGGAATATAAATATCGCAGATTTTAACAGTGTTTGGGACAACTTGCCAGAGCATAAACATGTTTTTTACATATTGTGCCATCATAATTTCTGACATCATGCGGTCATGACATAACCTAATGTGCTCCGATCATAAACTGAATTTCTTCGAGTAGTTCATGCACAAATGGTCTATTTGCCAAATACTGAATTTTAGTGAATTAAAACATAAATTGCATAATTTAGGCAAAATGTGCTAATCTGGAAAAAGTATCTAACACAAGCTGATATTTAGTGAATACATCCTACATCCCTTCGTTATGATGTAAAAGGGGCAGTCAGTAATACATACCCTTAGCTTGACATTGTGGTCTGTACAGTAAACAGATATATTCTAAAAGAATTCCAAACACAATGCTAGACCCTGCATGGATGGACTGTGCCTTTCAGCCCATTAAGTTTAATAAGGTTGAGCAAAGCATCGTAAAACATTGGAAAAACAATGGTGGTTACATATTAAGTGACATTCAAGGGCAATGTTCTGAAAAAGGCACAATCTACCGGAACATTTCATTAACTTCCATGGGGAACTTCCATGGGGAATGTTACAGTTCAAGAAATCCTATATCATCTTTTTATTCATGAAAGGAATTATGTTAACATTTTAGTAGCTATGACCTCAAAGGAAACATGCACAATTCTTTTTTTGCATGGTTTCATTGGGATATAAGAAATCTTGGCTTGCATTAGCTGCAGCTCTACTATCTGCAGCTATGGAAAGCCCTCCCCTTCTTCCAGAAGAATCTGTCAGGGGATAATCAATTAGAGGCTTCTCACAGAGAAGCCTTGCAGACAAGATGCGCACGCATGTGTCTGTTCAGTCACAGATCTCTCAATAAGCTGTGCTACAGGATATCGATAAGTCTTTCAAGGCAGGCACTCTTTGAGGACACGTGCCTTTGAGTTTAACTCCAGCTCCTGGCTGTCTGAAAAACAGTCAGAGTGGTATAGCGGGGTTCAATTTTCAAAATGCCGATTTCTATTGAAATCAACACTTGTAAAAAACAAAACAATAAAATAAATGAAAAATAACACACCCTACACACATAAAGCCTGTTTCAAGGGTTAATTGATTGACTCCCAACGTACCCAGTCACAAACAGGCCAGAATGTCATGATATCACAGTTTCAGCACAGGTAAGCTAACCAGTTATTTTCACCGAGACTCCTGTTGCACCACCAGTAAACAATTCTGGCCCTGTTGAACAGATTTGAAGAACATTGCCCTAGAAGGCAACGGTGTTAACCAACTTATAGTTTGGGCTAAAACAACATCTACAGCAAGAATTGGAGATATGTATCCAGTTTGGTGATTTTTAAACATATTTTTAATCTGGCTGTCAACCCACCACTATAGGCTGTTTAGTGAATAAACCACAATTAGTCAAGAAGTAGCATCTTTTGCAAATACAATTTATCACAACTGCAATACAATGAAAGATAACAGTTCCCTATTAGAGTAAATGCACTAGGAATATTTTAATTGCTTAGTCATTACTTTTGCACTTCAAATGTATAAAACCTAAGTGTGGTAAAATAAACCAACAGCAACTCTTTGGTTTTGATCCAAAATGAACCAGAATGTTAGATAGTATTTAAACAGAGAGATAGTATCATAGAGAAGGTTTCTTTAATTAAAAAAAAATGGGAGACGAAAAATATGCAGTATTACTAGCTACCACTCTTAATTCTTAGTAATTATGCTGAAATTCTTAGTTGAATGGTTCCATCTAGAAATTTGTATTTAATTTAATTTTTTATTTTTTTAAATCTGAATCACATGTATATTAAAACAGGATGAATAATAAATGTAAAATGTTTCAATAACTCATTTAGTTACAGTAACAAATATTTCAGAATAAGCAATTTGTTAATTGTTTAGGATTGTAAATACATTACGTATATTGCTCTGAATATATTTGATTATAATATATTCATAGGAAAAGTGTTATTTTAACAGGACGTGAAGCCAGATGAAAAACAGATGAGATGAGATATCCAGAAAACATTTGGTATTAAATCACATTAGGATTCTCCTTGTAAAACTGCCAACATATTTATAATATATGCAATATGGTGGAATTGCTAGAGGTTTGCAGTTTGAAAACATTATATTGACTGTATTGAATAAACATCTGTGATATGGACATCTGAGTAAACAGAGTTTATAGCAGGCCATTCCTTTATAATGGTCCTAGCTCTTAATTAGTGTCATGGTTTCTGCTGTGATATCACACGAAGGCCACAAAATACTGGAATTGCGTGCTGACAATTCCTTTTTTTTTTAACTGACAAATACAAGGAAGTGAAATCAGTTATCTGTATTTACATAAATCAGATTGACGCCATAGCCACTTTCGTTTGCATTGCTGTTACGTTAAAAGAATGTGGAAGTTAACTAACATATCTGAACTCAAAGTAAACAAAAACAATATATGCTTATGTTTATACAGAGATGTTTTGACAGTTACTCATTTCAACCCATCAAAGATCAGTAATATTCCAAACCATCATCAAGCTGTGCACCTTAAAGGGACAATATAGTCACTAACAACTTTATTTTAATGAAGCAGCTTTGGTGTATAGGAAATCTCCCTGCAATCTTACTACTCAAATATTTGCCATTAGGAGTTAAACCACTTTGTTTATGCAGCCATAGGCACACCTCCCTGCATGCAACTTACACAGCCTTCCTGAACACTTCCTGCAAAGAGTCATCTAATGTTTACACTTCCTTTATTTTAAATTCTGTTTAATTGATCATTTCTTATTTCCTGATCTGTTAATAGCATTCTAGACCTTGAATAAAGTTCAATTTACAGAGCAGGAAATAAAAACTTTTAAAATGTTACATCTGATTGAAAATTAAACCATTTTGTTTTCGAACAAACGGTGTCAGTCACAGCCAGGGGAGGTGTGCCTAGGGATGCATTAACAGAAATAAAAGTGATTTAACTCCTAAAATGGCAGTGAATTGAACAGTGAGACTTCAACGGTATGATCTATACACAAAAACTGCTCCATTTATCTAAAGTTGTTTGGATGGCTATAGTGTCCTTTTAAAGATCCTTTGGCAGTATGGAATGTCCTGTTTATTTAGCAAAGGTAGACCTATACATACTGTCCACTAACATGAGTATGACATTATATGAAGTATTTAAGTTCCTACTAGAAAAGATATTGCATCTCGGATTTTTGTAAAAGGGTATCTGAATTGCTTTTCTTCCCCCCCTCCCCCTCACCCACAATACCACAAATTCTGTGTACATATATTTTCCAAAATTTGTGTGTGTAAAAGTAAAGACTATTTTACTGGTATTGCACTACAATTAGGCAAAATAAAGGATAATTAAAAAAGGAAGGATTGAAATACATAAGTGGGCATAAGGCTTCTGGTGTTTTAACAGAGAATGTAATTTTATTAAATTTAAAAAAAAAAAAACAAACTAATTGTCTGCTACATACAGTGGGATTTTATTTTATATTTTAGTTCAAGTTATAGATAAAACATCTATAGACTATTTAATGAACAACTGTAGTACGACTGCTAACCAAAGGCTCAACCAGCAATTCTCCTGGTTATTCTGTCCATAAATGAATTCGGATGTTATAGACCAGTGTTCCCCAACCCAGTCCTCATGGACCACCAACAGTTCAGGATTTATGTATTTCCGTTTTATTCCAATGGAGATACTGACAAAATCTGCACTGTTGGTGGTCTATGATGACTGGGTTGGGGAACACTGGTCTAGACAATAGCTGCCTGCATGGGATATGCATGCATGCAAAGACCTTGCTTAAGTTTTTATGTGGTGCAAGATTTTGTACAGAGGTTTCTTACATATTATTTACTGTTAATGCTGCCAATAGTTTAAGAGAAGATGGTGGTAAAGATCAGGGATACTTTTTTTTTTTCCACTACTGGATTTAGCAAGTCTTCTTAGATTCCCAAAACGTAATGTATTTAAGGTTTTGCCTCAGATTGTCTGCCCAAAGTTAAAACTATAATGCTTAAAAACAGTCCCTTAATTTATAAATGAATTGCTTGAAACCTGGAACAATTATAAAATAATAGCAGAAAGGGAATTGGAAGAATTTTATTAGGCAGCAAATTAAAAAAAAAAAGGTAAAAAAAAAATAAAAATAAAAAAATGCTTTGAATCCAAAATAAATGGATGGGTGTTTGAGATGAGTGTAAATTTCTTAAGAGTTTGAGAAACTGTACAAATTGTTACCATGTATCTATCATACATAATACTCTTCTTTTATAAACACCAGGTCCTATGTGTCAGTCTTAGAGTAGCTAGACCTGGTAGATTTGAGCACTTCCTAGAGTAGCCAGGTCTTACAACCCACCTGACAGCCATACGTCTTTCTCCAGCTCCTCTTCTAGAGCCCAGAATTCCACATTGCCTTCTATAGCGGGCCAAACCGTTGCTTAAATTGCTGGAATAAATATTCAACTGGCCAAGTCAGCTATTGATAGCTGCAATCTTTATGCATGGTCTACTGATGTCTCATTACAGAAAGTAATCAACATCTTACAAGGTATATTTCCAGATTGGGGTCTGCTTGGTCCTCTTTGTGAGTCTGGATTGGGATGGGGCACACTAGAATCTTTTCGTGGTGCCCTGCATTTTTTACATTCTCCCCTACTCTTGTCCAACACGGATGTGAGGGTTAAAAAGGGGGTCGAGATTAGGGTCATTATCAGCTGATGCTCTGCCCAATTTTGACATAATTAGGATTAGTGTAAAAAATCCCAAAACTCCAATAATTAGAATAATGAGAAAACGCTGTTTGGTGGAGGTAGGCCGTGCCTTTGAACCTGAACGGTTTCTGTAGGAGAGAAAAATGCAGAATGTAAGTATCTATAACTATAAGTATATATAAGATAAACCAATTAAGCCATACCTCAAAGTAAAAAACAAAAACCAAACAAACCACTAACCGAAGTATTCTGGCCAGCCAACTCAATGTCGGTCTTCTTCTATATTTATCATCGTCAAAGTCAATCAGTGTGTCTTCACTCTTGGCAACATCTCGAGTGTCATATACTTTCCTAGGGATGGAAGCTAAAAACACACGTTAATAAAGTAGCTGTAAACAACAAGTTTATCATCCAGTGCTAAGGTATGCCCAATTTTTCACCTATGTCCAAATATTTTTCCATTACGCTTCCATCAGCGACAAATTTATGTTTGCAACTTGATTTGCAATATATACTCCATCTCCTTGTTCTGAATCCACTTACATATCCTTGTTTAATTACAGTTACATGTGGAATTACCCCTTATTTCGTCAGAAGTCCTCTATGTATCTTTATCCTAAATTCCAATGTCACAAATTAGTACTTGACCTTTGTGTTTTTCTTGCGCAGTTATTTTGTGTGGATAATTATGATTAACAGAACAAAAAACACTCCAGCTTCCTTATGTGCACAATGGTTTAATTGCACTGACCTTTCACTTCCAATATAAACTATTAAGAACAGAGCTGCCCGCAAAAAAAAAAAGAAAAAAAAAAGTGAATGTCCTTCACATCTGGAAACTCTGTGACAGCTGTATTGTCTCTGTCCGCTGCATGGAATCTACAATCCAGTATCTACACACTGACTCCTCCATTGAGGGTTACTACATGAATATATTTTTTGCCATTGCAAACTCACCTGCGCTCATGCCGACATTGTCATCCCCTGTGTTTCCAATCATGACAGTATGGTCTTGAGATGTGCCTCCAGTATTACCATGCTGTGTAGCAGCAGCAGGCGCAGAATTGTACAGATATCCTGACTGTGATGATCTCTCCACAGCTTCTGGCATGTGATCAGAAGAGGCTAAAAAAAAAAAAAAGGATACAGAAAACAATGTATTGGTATAATAGAAGTATATATCATATATTTTTTTACCATCAATAACAAGAAAAAAAAAATCCCCCACAAAAAACAACACATTCATATAGGGTTTACTATCCCTTTAAAGGGGAACACTATACACACCCAGACTACTTCATCTCAGCGCAATATTGACAATCCTGCAATTTTTGTGTGAATGAGTCTATAGATCTCAAGATGAGGAAACCCAAAGGGAATGATTCCCTGGCTTGGAGAGAATGTCTGATAAGATGGATTGTATTAAATCTCAGGACCTAACCACCTTTGGGCAGCCCAAACACATATGGAAAAAAACACCTAAATTCCCATTACCTCTCCAATAATCATCTGAAGTAACTGTTCCAATATGGGTCAATCGTGCCGGAGTATATACCAACTCATGTGCATCTTGGAAGCCTACTCCTGATGCACAACACAAATAGACTCCTTGGCAGACGCTATGCAAATATTGCACTCCCATCACAGTTCCAAATCCTCCCACCACCTCACTCCTATGGGGCAATACCAAGTGTGAATTTGAGCCAGCCTAGCAGCAAAATAGTATAGCTGCAGGAAGGGAAGGTCCAGGCCACATCACACCTGAAACAATGAGGGATAGTTGGGTTCATAAAGTTCAGAAGGGTCAGAAGTGAGCTTTATACCTAGGAACTTCAACAGGTCAAGAGACCTGCAGAATGAAACCGGAGACATCGAAATAATTTTGCAAAGTAAACTAAATAAATTTAAAAAAGACCCTGGCTTTATGTTGTCTACATGATAGACATTAGAGATCAGCATTTCTTCTTGTTTTATGATCTCTGTCATCTACATTGGCTCAAAAACAGTGCAGTTTGTACACAAAGTGCATTATCATGACAAAAACAATTCCGCATGTTGGGTTATTTTTTTAAAAATATTAAAAAGTTTGTTGTGGTTTTTTAATCATTTATAAATAGATAACTGTCTGGTACACCCAGGTTATTAATACTTTTTGGGCCATGTCATAACTAAGGAGCAAAGATTCAGAGGGTAGTTAAAAGCAATACCAGTTTTTCAAGTTTGATGACAAACTTACAATTTACAACAGACCAATCCCTGTAGTCTGTAACATCGTGTGCTGCTACCTCGTCTACAGTCTCCACCTCTTCTATCTAGGAGGATAAAAATAGGTCACATTAGTTCTAATAATTAAAGGGAGAGAGCACAGGAAGCAAAACACAACACATGACACCTCCACTGCACAGATTCATACATTTGAAAAAGAAAAAAAAAACACTCCAAAACACATAAAGCACTTCAGCTTTCTTCCACTTTGTTTCATTTTATCGTGGCGATTTCGGGGGCAAGACCTGACTGCCGACTGAGATAGTCGCATGTGGCTGGAGTTCCTCAGAGAAACCCTCTCCCTAAGCCTAATAAAATTGACAGAACAATTTTTTTTTTTTTTACATTCTTTATTTTTGTTATGCTATAAACCATTATACATAGTTTGCAATGTCATGACTGCAGCAATATTGATTAACATCAATGAGATATACATTTGCCATAGCAAAAGGTACAGCACAATATATTTTGTGTAGAATGTGTAGGTAGAGTCAGCTTAAGTTAAATTAGCCTAGGCATCAATTGGAACCCGTGTTTAAAAACACCTAAGTCGGTATGGGGTAGGGTTACAGGTGATGTTTAAGTTAGCGTGTCTTAAAACGGTCTGTCAGCTATGATATGAGGTAAATATGCCTGTACAGACTGTGTGCTAATTAAATACCTCCTGGCAGTGTGCTAAACCCGTCAGCCGTCAACAGTGTAATGGGCTCGGGTTTGGGGGTGGAAGAATGCATGCAGGGAGACAGGACTGAATGATAACACTCTTCATGGTGGAATGTCTCTGGTTCTCAGTGCTGCTGCTCGAGGAACGAACAGGTTTATCCCGTCGACAGCCCACAACTGGCTCCGTGCTTCAGGAAATGCTCTATCAGGTAAGCCCAGTTCCCATAGCATGGAGGATGCCTCGGAGAGGTGTGTTAGTCAGCATGTTCTGCCATCTCTATCCACAAGAAGACGGTGCACTCCCCACTTAAAGGGCACGTTTTGTTCCCATAGGTACTGGGTGAGCTGTCAAAGGGACTGACGCCATAGGACTGTGTGTCGGGACATATGCCGACAGAAGGTAAGCGTACCACCTTCGAAGATCTTTGAAGGAGTGTTCCTCGTTGCCCCCATAATTATTCCTCATTCTGAGTCCAGCACAAATTTTATGAGAACATCTCTAGAGGTCTCCGGTGGGGTCTTAGTTGGTTTAGGTAGACGGAAGGAAAAGTCCATCATCGTCAACTTGGCCTGTTTAGGTGGTAGCAGAGTAGCTATAAGCCGTCTACTATAGTGTGGCAACTCATCTGCAGCGACAGTCTCAGGTACTCCTCTTAGTCTGACATTCCTGGTCTTGGTCCTGTCCTCCAGGGCTGCTATGCGCCGATGAAGGCCTGAGTTGTCCTTCTGATGTGAAGGTCTGCATCTGTGGCGGTTTGTGCCACCTTCATGGTTCCCAACTCTTCCTCTACCGTGACAATTTTGCTGGCCAGTGTAACCACTTCTTCCTTCACCGCCACCACATCTGCCTGAAACATCGCTCTGAGCTCCTGCAGGAGAGCCTTAATATCGGCCTTATTCTGCAGGGGACCCCGGGGCACCACAGGTGTTCTTGGGACTATAGAGAGCCTTTCAGGTAAGCTTTCCTCAACCGATGAGGCTGAGGACTCCACTGGCACTATTTTGTCTGGTTTGGGCCTAGCAGGCTCGTGCAGGAATGTCTTAATATCGCGGGATCTGTGGCTCGGTTCGGCCTGCAGTTTTTTGGTTTTCTTGCCCATGGGTTCCTGAGGAAATTGCCTCATTGCAGGGACCTGGGAAACTGGGTAAAAGGACTGGGTGCAGCAACTCTCGGGCAATCTGAGCGGAGCTCCCGCTACATGCGTCCAACTCTTACGGCTGCTGGCTCTGCATCCTCGACAAAACTATTTTATATGTGGCAACTACACTGCCCTGGTTAGGAGACAGATTGTCACTGGACCCTGTCCCTCTTCCCCCTTGGCCTGGCAGGGGATATCGCGGTCCCCACTGGTGAACTCTCATGGCCTACTCTAAGAGGGTTTTGCAAATATAAGCAGAAGGCTCACTGTTCAAGATGGCTGTTACATCGTGGCCTGCTGCCCCACAAGCCTACACATAGCCGCCCTTCCAGGTGGACCTGCTTCTTCGAGCATTTGACAGCCTGTGCGTGCAATATGCGGGTGTAATTCATACCTGTGTTCCAAGCTAAAGCCTCCCAGATCCTGTTTGCTGATCGGAGATGCAGGGCTGTTTCTGCACTGTTCTGCAGGTGTGAAGACGCAAGCAGATGCCGCAACCTGCGCTTCATAGCTGCAAATCCATTACCGTGCTTATAGCATGTATTAAGGCAGAGGGGTGGTGTGGCTACCTTGTCGTATTGGCTGCACTCCAGTTTCCTGGTGGCTATCCTTATGCAGGCATCGGCTGAGTGGGCAGCAGATCCCCTCTACAGTAGAGATTTTTTTTTTTTTATTATTTTATTTTATTCATATGCTCACAAAGAATATCAGCTGTACTGTACTCATGCTATCCAGTGGCAATTTTCTCCTGTTAATTTGGCAATCAGGGCTCACTAAATAACTTACTTAATTCTGCTTATGGCTAATTGAGTTGGTACCTCTAAGAGTCTAATATCTTACCATGTGTCTTTACACTCTGTCCCATAAGGCATCTTAATAATAGCAGTAATAATTTATTCTCACGTTGCTTTTGAGACACCTTAATCAACTGTTTGTAAAATGAGGTAGTATCCATATCTATGCAATATATTTTGCTTTGTGTTACGTGAGACATATTTTTCTATTGTATACATGCTATTCCTGGAAAAAAAGGCTTGTAGTATCTGCAGATTATACATCTACCGCTATTGCAAGACTAGATTTTATATATTGCCAAGTAAAACATGCATATTATCTTTGAAGGTATACCCTCTAAATCTATATGAAGTATTCCTTTAAACCAAATCTACTTTCATGTAAAAAAATAAAAATAAAATGTAAAAAAAAGTGTGTCATGTTACCCTAACACACAAAACTTAAAATATAAGAAAACAAAACAGAACATATTACTGGATCAAAGAGTGGTCAGACTTAATGTATTCACTGAGAACTTTTGTAAAAGATATGTCAAGCCAGGATAACAGAGATACGGGAGAATGAGTAAACTAGCTAGGTCCAGGTTACAGAGATAGACCAGATTAAAAAATTTAAAAAAAAGTCAAAACCAAGAGTCAAAATGGCAATAGAAATGTGCTTACTGCCAAACAGGAGGAAACCATGACAGGCCACTTACTGTGGGACAAGAAATGTTATTTATCGGATTAGAGACTCGCTGATTGGTCCACACCATCTCTATGATCCCACAACATGAGTGAACAAGGTCTCAGGGATGACATGGATGGACGTGAACCAAAAGTGATGTATTGCGTCCTTACATTATATACCAGCGCATGCCGCGAGCAGGCAGAGCCGTCCATGCTGCCCAAAGAGGAACCAGGCAGTTAATGTAACAAAGAGTGACATAAGAGGACTGGTTAAGTAAAATCGGGGGGGTGAACTAGTGAGGGAACTAGCGAAACCAGGGGGTGAACTAGTGAGGGAAGATTGCATTGTGGCCAGTTAAATAGGGGATATTAAGAGAAAACTGAGTATACACACGCTAGAGGAAAATATAAAAGAATAAATGTATCCAGTGAGCAAGGCTCCAAAGCAGACATCATTTACTGTTGATATTTTTTCAGAATTGTATTAGCTACTTACCAAAGGGAGGCCCAGCCCAGTCCTTGCCCAATTTACAGTAGAGAGTTTATCTCTCAGGGTGGAGGCCACAGGGCTTACAAGGTTGGCAGGGGGAAAAATAGGTCCTTGGCAGCTTGGACACTGATATCCAGCAGGAGCCGTGTTTTGGGGCAGCTGAGAGGCTAAGTCATTCAGGCAGGACCAGTGGAATAAATCTGGAGCAACAGAAATATTAATGTTTAATCTTTGGAAATGTAGAGGTGACAAACTCTGTGTTCCTTGCAATGAGACTTGAAAGTGCGAAGCTTCATACCATAACATACAAGCCGAGTGGTCTCCTTGGAGGACAGAAGTGTGTTACAGAGCACACAGTTTGGATTGTAATCGCTATCCTGCAACCACTGGAGGTAAGACTGGACAATGCACTAAAGAGAAAAACATTAAAATAGAGAAGATAGATCACGAAAGTTATACATTAAATAAGTGTTTGCTTTACTTCCCAATAAGTATGATCATTTGGTCCAGTATTGTCTTTTTCAATTAAAAATAATAGTATTTACCCTTGCTAACATCCAATAAAAACATGCATTTCTAAGACATGAGTTTCACAATCAGAAGGTGTAATCCTGCTAAATATAGTTATCAATAATAATAGTAACACAACAGCAATGATCACTCCCTTTCCTGATATGTGTCCACCACAATAAAGACCACTGCATTGATCACAATCCCAACTATTTTTGAGGATGGACTATAATTACCTTGGCATGGTTGGCTACCAGGCAATGTTCACACACGTTCACGCGATGTTCAAAGCAAAACAGATTTGTCACCTTTTTCTTGGGACATTTACACAGGCCCATGGTGATAAAGAGACCTGTTAAAAAACAAACATACTAAATACACCAATAGCAGAAAACAAAAGTTGTGTTAACACAAGGATAAATACAAATTACATACATAAACAGATGATGTCCACCAAAATGAATGTAAGAAAGTATGCATATGTTTGTGAATCAAGAAACACTTTATTGGTGATACTTGGTAACTGAAATAAACACTAGTCAGTGAACCTGAGGGACAAAAGACTACTGGGTACAAGATTTTTATTTTATTTTTTACTTCTTAGGAATTATTGACTGATTGATGAATGAGTGATGGCTATGGTCTCTATAGCTTGCAGGAACAGAGGATAGGACATATGTGTAAACCTCAACACATTTCACAATGCAAATCATTACAAATATAGAAAACAAAGATTCTGTGAAAGAGACCGAAGGTAATATCTGATCAATGGCAGAATACATTGTAGAAGCACTCGTCACATTGTCTAATATACACTTAAAATAATAAACGCAACACTTGTTTTTGCCCCTATTTTTCATGAGCTGAGCTCAAAGATCTAAGACCTTTTCTATGTACACAAAAGGCCTATTTCTCTCCAATACTGTTCACAAATCTGTCTAAAATCTGTGTTAGCGAGCACTTCTCCTTTGCCGAGATAATCCATCCACCTCACAGATGTGGCATATCAAGATGCTGATTAGACAGCATCATTATTGCACAGGTGTGCCTTAGGCTGACCACAAAAAAAGGCCACTCTAAAATGTGCAGTTTTATCACACAGCACAATGCCACAGATGTTGCAAGTTTTTTAAGGGAGAGTGCAATTCTAATCCTAGTGGCACCCCCTCCCCTCCTTAGTACACTACTGCTTTTAAGTCTTCCATGTTTGCAGATATCTTCATCTATGGGCTCACATTTTCATACCAATATTATAGGGAATTCAGCTCCCCTTACAGGTTTTTTTTAGTTACTATATCTCACATAAAAATTTATTTATTGCTTTAGCTAATTTGTCGTCACCTTCCCACAACTACCACCTTACCCTTAAAGGGACACTATTGTCACCAGAACAACAACAGCTTATTGTAGTTGTTTTGGGGAGTATAGTCAGTCCCTGCAGCAAACACTGTTTTGTCAGAGAAAATGCAATGTTTACATTACAGCCTAAGGACACCTTCAGTGACGACTCCTCAGATGGCTACTAGAGGTGCTTACTGGGGCAGTGCTGCACACCCTCTGCATGGAGACACTAAACATTACTAATAGAGATGCACTCATTCAATGCATTTCTATGAGGAGATGCTAATTGGTCAGCATGGGGTTTGGCTCTGCCCCGGCCTGCCTCCTTGTCAATCTCAGTCAATCCAATACTTTCCTATGGGAAAGCATTGTAATTGGCTGAGTTCATCGTTTCTGATTATGCCAGCCAAGGAGCAGATCAGGGGCAGAGCCAGCAGCAACAGACTGGAATAAAGGTAAGATTTTGCTATATTTAAGGGGGTGAGGGACGGCCAGGGGGGCTAGATGGTGTTTTTAACATTAAAGGGTCAGGAATACATGTTTGTCTTGCTGACCTTTTAGTGTTTCTTTAACCAATATATACTGGTAATTTAAAGCCTAGTGTATTCAGGTTTTAATTTCACTGCATTATCTTTTACATCAGGTCTCCATTAAAACATTTCAATGATTTCGCTCAACTATAGCTGCATATTTTTTTTGTTTCTTTGACCTGGCAATTTTGTGACTATCATTCTCAAATATTCCTAAGGTATGTTCAACCATAATTCACCTTTTTCATATTAAGTGCACCCAGACTTATTATAGATCATTTTGTTCAGGAGAAACAGGGCTTTAATTTCTCATTAATTATTCATATATGAAACATAACTTATTATGAATAAAATAAAAAACAAACTGTGAAAAACTAAGATTTTTTTTAAAATAAAAATTGTAGTTCCGTCTGACATTTAAGCTGTAAATGTCATGATACTGTTAGCTTTTACTGCAATAAAATGCACATATTTGTATTCAGCAAAGTCTCACGAGTACAACAGTACCCCCTATTAACAGATTTTACAGACAATCCCCCTGCTGGCAAATCCACGGCCAGCTATAGGGGGCCATGTGATCGCTCTTTGTGGACGGCCTGATTTGCCGGGGGAGGGCTGCTTGGGCTGTCAGGCAGTCCTCCCGAAGCAGATCGCCGGGAAGGTGAGTATCTGTTTAAGCCGTTACGGCGTTATATGTCACTGCAACGGCTCTAAAGCACATTATAATGGGGACGGCATAGAATGCCGTAACGGCGATAAGGGGTTAATCAAGTAGCCCAGAGCACATACACTGTTATTCATGAAAGTGAGAATTTAAATTTAAGGCTAAACTGAAAGCATAGCTGACTTAGATATTTATTTTCTAGTTCAGCTGCATTGCCCTTAAAGGGAAACTATAGGCTAGGGATACAAAATTGTATTCCTAGCACTATAGTATCCCCCTTCTTTCCCCATGCAGTGCATAAAGGATTAAAACCCCTTCTATCACTTACATGAATCCAGTGCCAATGTCCCTCAGCGCTGGGTCGGCTCCACTGTGGTAGACAGTCACTAGAGGTGAAGTTAATCCTGCCATAAATTCATTATAATTACAGGATTAAACGGAGATACTGCACCCAGACCACTGCAATGAGCTGAATTGTTCTGGGTGCCTATAGTGTCCCTTTAAATCGTAAATTCAACTTTAGTAAATAACCCTTTTAATTCTAGGTTGATTATTCAACTTTTGCCACTTTCTGTGTTTACATAACGTAAAAACAGCAGATATTATATAGCTACTATCTTTTTATTGAGGTAAAATCATTATATGAGATAACTTGAACTGAGCTTTGCGGGCAGACTACTTATCTGATAATACCCTTCTGGACACGATATTATGGGTAAGATCAGACCAGAATAAGATGCTCCTGTTTGGAGATAAACACACTAAACAGTGATCAATGGGACTTTAAAAAGTCCTGTAACCTTTTGTTTAATGAACCAACCAACAGACAATCCATCTACCGTACAGTGGGGAATTATTTGTGTTTAGTGGTTTTTGGACAAGTAGGTAGTAAGCCGAGTCTCTGTCTTTTAACCAAAACTTTGGGGTTTAATGAAATATGAATGGTAAAGGTTTGCCTCCATGGTAATGACCTGGACTGGATGGGATTCCAAGAATAAAATTACTGTAGCAAACAAAGTCATTCCACAAAAATTGTGTAATTAAGGATTGAAAATCATGAAATTAAATTAAAAAAAAAAAATTCTAGGGATTGCAAATATCGCCATTTTTTTTACTATACACTCTATTCCTTCCTTGTTTTCCGTTTAGCCATGTACTATTTACAAATAATACAGGAAATCACCTGATCAATCGGTTCCAGGGATTATTGATTAGTTAATAGAGATTCCTCTAATAAATACTCCAGAGCAGAACATGTCATGTGCTGACCATCCCCACATATAATTCCAGTGAGAGTAGATTTAAATACACAATGTTTTTCTGTTTATTGTTATATTATTATTATACCGTTCCTGTGGAACTCGCTTCCCTCCTCCGTTAGATGCTCACCCAGTCTCCACTCCTTCATAAAAACCCACTTCTTCATGAAAGCGTATCAATTAAACTGTTAATAGCTCCTGACTGATTCCTCTTCTGCAACTGTCATTAGTCTAATACTATCTTTACCTTTTGTGTCACTTTACCCCACTCCCTCTAGCATGTAAGCTAATTGAGCAGGGCCCTCAACTCCTCTGTTTCTGTGTGTCCAACCTGTCTGGTTACAATTAGATGTCTGTTCGTCCGCCCATTGTAAAGCACTGCGGAATTTGATGGCGCTATATAAATAATATAATAATATTAATATTACCGTATGGACATATTGTGTTTATTTTTATATTTTACTCTTTGTATCTTAGTCTGTGGTGTACAGCTGCCCATATATACAGTTGTTATATTTGTAGTATTCTTTGTTGTTGTTGTTGTTGCCCTATACATTCTGTGTTTATGGTTTATTGTACATGCAGTCCTTGCATTCTCCCCCCCACCCCATACCTCACTCCTCCAGTGTGTTCCTCTGGATGCTCTCCTCCCCAGTGTCCCTGCTTCCTGTATCCTCCCGTGTCTCCGGTATCGATATTAAATCTCACACACACAGTCTATCACAGTCTATGGATTGCTGAATGTACACACACACACCTTAGAACTCACTCTACCCTGCCACGTCTCTTCCGGGTGACAGTGACAGCTTGCGGCGCGGTGGGATGACGTCACATCCGGCGTTCTCTACTCGGCCATCGGGCGGGCTGGCAGACAACTTCCGGTTCCGGCAGGGAGAGCGGGCGCGGGATATTTGAAAGTTCTGCTCGGATCGCGGCGGAATACACTCGGAGAACGCGGGGATTTAACGCGGGGAAGGCGCAGTGCCGATACACAGGGGGCTCTGTCTGTCTCAGTAATGGACGTCCATCCTGCAGCAGTCCCTGTGTGTGTCCTGTGAGACGGGCATGGTCCGAGCCGCCATCCGGAGGCTATCTGAAAGCATGTCTTCCCCGAGACAGCGACCCAGCGGCTCTGACACCCAGCCACAAACATGTATGTTATCACACCCGTGTACCATGATGGCACTGGCCTCACATACACCTACTGCAGGTTAATGTCTATGGGCACTGCAGCATTTATTATATATATATATTAATGGGGCTGAAACCTTATTAAAGTATGAGCTTGTTAATGCTACCTATATTATCAGTATTTATTAACCCCCTGTGCTAGTTCAGTGGGAGCCCATTTGCTGGAGCATGTATATGGTATTTACCAGGCCCACAGGCAAATGGGTCACTCGTAATTCTATTAAGTAAAATAGGTTGCAGGCAGCGTGTGTAATTGGAGTCACTGCTGACACAGCATAGGAATCACTGACCTACGTGAATATCTAAGACGACATCTCTGTTATGGGGTTTCTGCCATCATCATTAATTTTGGGTCAGGCAAGCCATAACGCATCCTTTCATAGTCTATACCTGGCTGCATTTCGTGATGTTGTTAGTTATGATGGCTTTTGCCCCTTTCCAATGCTTCTCATATTTATTTTCAAACGATTTTCTGCCTGACCTCCTCCTGTGGTGTTTTTGGTGCTTACAATCTGCAAAACTCCTTTAAGAAAGGTAGTAAGGAGGAGTGGGGCAACTATAGGCCAGTATGCCTTACTTCAGTAGTGGGGAAAGTAATGGAAACTATGTTAAAGGATAGGATTGTTGAACATCTAAAAACTCATGGATTTCATGAGCAGGGACAACATGGGTTTACTTCAGAGAGATTATGCCTAACTAATCTTATTGATTTTTTATTTTTTGGGGGGTAACTAAAATTATAGATCAGGGTGGTGCAGTAGACATTGCTTACCTAGATTTCAGTAAGGCTTTTGACACTGTTGCACATAGAAGGCTAATCAATAAACTGCGATTTTTAATTTTGGATTCCAATATTGTTGAATGGGTAAGGCAGTGGCTGAGTGACAGGCAACAGAGGGTTGTAGTTAATGGAATATTTTCGAAGCTTGGACTTGTCACCAGTGGGGTACCTCAGGGATCTGTACTTGGACCCATTCTCTTTAATATTTTTATTAGTGATATTGCAGACGGTCTTGATGGTATGTCTTTTTGCTGATGATACTAAGATATGTAACAGGGTTGATGTTCCAGGAGGGATAAGCCAAATGGCAAATGATTTAGTTAAACTAGAAAATTTGTAGCAACTGATATTTAATGTGAACAAGTGCAAGATTATTCATCTATAGTCTGTCACTGCAGGCTTTACAATGTAAACTCTGCCTTTTCAGAGAAAAGGCAGTGTTTATATTGCTGCCCAGTAACACTTCTAGTGGTAGTCACTTAAACAGCCACTAAAGTGTCTCCTATCTCAGTTCTTCACACTATGTAGCACCTAAATTCAGTGTCTCAACGCTCTGCATGGAAGCGCTGAATATTCATCTTAGAAATGCATTGTTTTAATGCATTTCAATGGAGATGCTGATTGGCAATTAATTCTCAACTATGGAGGCGGGCCAGTTGTGGAGAGACTGGCATTATGTGGGGGGGGGTGAGTAAAAACACCATTCCCATGCGATCGGAAGGGGGTTGGTGACCTAAACATGCACATAGATATTTTTAGCCACCCTCCTGTTACTTACTTTTGGCCTCAGTAGGGTGGCTTCCCTAGGGTCCAGTGAAACAGGGCAACAGAAGGGGCATCAGATTAGTGGGGATGGCTGCTGGTGATGGAAGTAGGCTGCCGCTGTTCTAGACTCCCTCCTTCCCCATTCTTCCTGTCTCTTCAGCCTCGTGCAGCTTTCTGTAAGCTGGGAGGAAGTGAAAGGAACTGTAATTACTTCCTCCCGGGGCTGAGGCCGCGCATGGGAATGGGTGAGTGGCTTGCTCTGTGAACGAAGGCGGATGGTAAGCAGTACTGTCTTTACCTGGTGCCTTGCCAGCTTGCAATTCCCCTGTAAGGCCTCAGCGCTGGGAGGAAGGAATACATTTTTTTTTATTGAGGAAAATTGTCACTTTTTTATACCTGGGGTCTCCACATGAGTTCCACGGGGATAACACAATGGTGACATCTCTGGCACCTTGGTGTCTGTGCCTGAGCTGGTAATTTAATTAGAGGCCAGGCACCTCGCCCTGGGTCACAGAATACATGTCTCGTGTTCCCATGTCCACAAAACCACTGTCCACAGAAAGCTTGGATCAGAGCTCCCACTTAGTCCAAAAAGCACCTGGAGTATCCAGGGCTCGATAACGCTGGGTAGAATGTTCCTGTATCCTTAGATGATGGCAGTTTCCATGAGTACATGGAGCTACCACAAGTTCTTGGTATAGTTGGATGCCTCACCACCTCTTGTCTCCCCTCCAATTGGCTCCCTGATTCGTGGTTCTGGATCTGAGAGCGCTCTTGGCAAAGGTTTACTGGACTGCGGCAATCAGTTGTTCCAGGCGAGTTGGAGGTGACTTTGTCACACGTGTCTCATCGGCTCCCTGCCTGGCACTCGTTAGCTCCTGGGAAGGGCAAAGCGGGCACTAGGTTGGGAGACACATATTGTAGGTGGAATGTCAGTGATAAGGTGAGATGTGGTTGGGAGCCATGTACCATTCTTTTAAAAAAGATCTCTGAAAGTTCGCATTTAATAAAATGTATAATCCATTCTCTAATATGGCAGGCAAATGTTTTTTTTGTTTTTTGTAGGGGGGGGTTTCTCCTACATAATTTTCAATACAATTTAATATAATTACATTGCTGAAAAGAGACTTGCGCCCATCAAGTTCAGCCTTTCTCACGTATGGTTTTGCTGTTGATCCATATCAAAGCATATTTTTAAATATGCTTTCATATTCGCTTCTCTGGCTATGAGTTTCAAATTCAGTTTGAATTCTCACTTTGGTGAATAATCCATTATATGTTCTCACCATACTAGTGAAAGCTGTCACTGTTTACTAGTAATCAACCATTCTTCTATTACAGGTATAACTTCACCACTAAAGAGAAGATCTCATAGAAAGCTATCTAGCAGTAATGCTCCAGAGATTACTTCTCCATTAAACAGCAGCTTGCAGAGAAAAGTATCCAATGTCAATGCTCCAGAGATGACCTCTTCATTAAACAAAAGCTGTAATAGAAAGTTATCTAACTGCATTGCTTCAGAGACTTCTCCATTAAACATAAGCTCCCAGAGAAAGTCATCCCGCACCAGTGCTTTAGAGAATACTTCTCAATTAAACAGAAGCTCCCAGAGAAAGTCATCCCGCACCAGTGCTTCAGAGAATACTTCTCAATTAAACAGAAGCTCCCAGAGAAAGTCATCCCGCACCAGTGCTTCAGAGAAGACTTCTCAATTAAACAGAAGCTCCCAGAGAAAGTCATCCCGCACCAGTGCTTCAGAGACGACTTCTCAATTAAACAGAAGCTCCCAGAGAAAGTCATCCAGCACCAGTGTTTTAGAGAATACTTCTCCAATAAACAGAATCTCTCAGAGAAAGTCATCCCGCACCAGTGCTTTAGAGAATACTTCTCCAATAAACAGAAGCTCCCAGAGAAAGTCATCCACCAGCAATGGTCCAGAGATGACTTCTCCATTAAAGAGAACCTTGCATGGGAATTTATCCAGTGGCAACAGTCCAGAAAGGACTTCTCCACCAGTCATGCGATCACAGGAGAAGTTATCCAGCAACCATTCCCTTCAAGAGAACCTTACATCAAAGAAAATATCCCAGAATGTGTTCTCGATCAACACCACTTCAGACAATTTGGTATATATAAAATTATATGTTCTGCATGTTATTTTCTCTTGCATGAGTGCATGCACTAAAAAAAAAAACATAAGAATTTTAAAAACTTGCGTTTCATAACAATCTCTCCTTAGTGCCTGGTAAATATTTTGTATGCGTTATCCTGTTTATGTGGAAAAGAACACTATGGTCAGTGCTCATTTACACATACTTTTTTTTTTTGGTTTGTTTTTGTTACAATTCATTTTAAAAGTTAAAAAAAGCCTAAAGTACAAACCAGAAATCCATTGAATATTGAAGACTTGGCTCAAGTTTTTGTTTTTACGGATTGTTGTAGAAGTAAGACTTTGCTCCATAGCTTTGCCTTGAGTAAGATTCATATGAGTTCTTTTAACCATCTTATTTTATAATTCTGATAAAATGCTTTTAGTATTTTTCTGTAAGCAAATTAGTATTTGTGAATATAATAGACAATATTTTTAGCACTCATCAGTTGTGGTGTATATCGCTTTAAAATTCTCACAATGTAAAAAAGATCATATAACAAGAATATAGTGTAATACTGCAGGTGATCCGTTTTTAGAACATCAATACAATGGTGCTACTCACATATGGGAGCCTATGAGGAATATCCCCCGAGCTGTAGAACTTTGTACCATTTAGGCTCTAGAGGGTGGTACCTCTGTTTCTTTAAATATGATCAACCTTCTTTCTTTCTTTCCTTTGTATATTCTCTTGTAAATGGCCAAAAGCATGAAAATTACACCATGATCCCAGCACTCAAATTGTCTTTAGAATGCCCAGGTGCCAGCCATAATACTGGAGTAAAGACGAGTGCACTCTGGGGTCTGTAGAAAGTATAGATGCTTTTATTCAGCACAAATCATACATTGACGTTTCAGTCCAACCGGACTTTTCTTTTCTCAAGACAGTCTTCAGAAAAGTCCCACGTGATGCTTTGCTGACGTCCGAATGTGTTTTGTCCAATCATTGGTTTCCTCAGATGATGTCAGTCCTATTGCTTTGTCTGTATTTCACTTTACATTGACACTCCTTTACCCTATTGGATGATCATTGTATTGGGTCATGTCTTGATTCTCTGCAAACCATCAAATAAACAATGCAGCAGATCTCATCCGATTATTTTGTTTACAAGTCTAAAGTTTGTTTAACTTGCATAACAAAGCCCATTGACTGCATCTAACAACATAGCTCACATTTAGAAGATTGTTTATTAGCAAACACTCTTCTACTTTTAAAGGACCACTATAGCCACCCAGACCACTTCAGCTTAATGAGGTGGTCTGGGTTCCTGGTCCAGCTAGGGTTAACCCTTTTTTCTATAAACATAGCAGTTTCAGAGAAACTATGTTTATAAATGGGTTAATCCATCCTCTAGTGGCTGTCTCATTGACAGTCGCTAGAGGGCTTCCGCGCTTCGTGAGAAGACGCAGCGTCTATAGGAAAGCATTGTGAATGCTTTCCTATGGACTGGCTGCGCGCGCGGCTCCTGCCACGCATGCGCATTCAACCGAAGAGAAGGAGGAGAGCTCTCCACCCGGCGCTGGAGAAAGAGGTAAGTTTAACCCCTTCCTCCCCCTTCAGCCCGATGGGAGTGGGACCCTGAGGGTGGGGGCACCCTCAGGGCACTATAGTGCCAGGAAAATTTGTGTTTTTTTCCTGGCAGTATAGTGGTCCTTTAAAATACAGTAAGATTTGTAGAACGCCAAAGCCTTGGATACCTTAACATATATTTAACATAAGAGGAAAATAAAGAAAAACATTTCAAATGCAAAAACTTATACTAATTCTGTATCTAAGTGATCGTACATCTACAAACAACTATAAATCAAAACTTGGGGATACTACATATTAAGTTAAAAGGAAATGTAGTATATATTTTAGTTAATAATATAAGTCAACAAAGGCCGTGTACCCGCAAATGCTGATCAGATGAAAGTGCTATAGACTTGTTACAATATCATTGTGCTTAATCGCCTGGCACACATCTTGCATCTATCAAAGATTGTCATCTTTTTTTAACATGTGCACTCATAGAGAATTTTAAAGAAATACACACTTCTGTTTAAGATCTAAAAACATAAAATGTATGTGAGCAAAGTGTAGCGCCTTTTGTGAAGACTAATCAAAAATGATCTATTTAGTGTGTACTCCTACTTGTTTGTTTTTCTGGTTGGATAAAACACAGCTGCTCCCTTTTTAATTTTTCTTATTGTATTTTTTTTATTTATTTTTTAATCCAGTGTGTTCTGAAATAAGAAGTATTAAGTTAAGCAGAATTGTGTTTTTTTTTTTTTTAAACTTTTCTATGGTATTTACGTTTTTATATATTTTTTTATTTCAAAATGTAGATGCCTGCGCCTATATTCAGACGACCAATCACAGCCAAGAAAATAATGCCCAGGAAGACTCTGGTAAGGATATCCTTCTCTTGCTTATGAAAAAAACACACAAATATATAATTTGTGTATATTACATGCCATCTTTTTGTATTAAATTAAATTTGCATTTTATTCACAAAATGTATAAATCAAAACTCACCACAATACAAATGTAAAAATGGTGAGTAAAGTACATAATATACTTATCTATATAATAGACAGTGTCGCTAAGATCACTTCCCAGGTGGTGATCCTATATCAACTGGAATACAGACAAAAATATATGGGATACGGCTTAGAAAAGGATGAAGGTATTAAATGCACTCAAAGATGGTGATGGGGGACTATTAATCCCTCTCCTCGGTCTGTGTATGTCACTGCTTTAAGTGTTTATGATTTGTTTTAATTTTAATGTCCTTGAGGAAGTCTCACGTCTGGGACGAAACACGTTGGACCATAATTGCTGTTTTTAAAGGATCACTATAGGGTCAGGAACACAAACATGTATTCCTGACCCTATAGGTGTTAAAACCACCATTTAGCCCCCCTGGGCTCCTTATGCCTCCATAAATATAGCAAAATCTTACTGTATTCAAGCCTGAAGCTGTGGATATGCATGCTGTTTGCCTCAGAAAAAAAAGCTGTCTGCTGACATCAGAAGTGGTGGCCTGATCCAATTACAGTGCTTCCCCATAGGATTGACTGACTGAGACTGACAAGGAGGCAGATCAGGGGCAGAGCCAGCATGATTCAAACACAGCCCTGGCCAATCAGCATCTCCTCATAGAGATGAATTGAATCAATGAATCTCTATGAGGAAAGTTCAGTGTCTGCATGCAGAGGGAGGAGACACTGAATGTTTGGATGCATTTTAGGCAGCCATTACCCAGGAAGGATCTCTTAACAGCCACCCGAGGAGTGGCCAGTGAAGTTATCACTAGGCTGTAATGTAAACACTGCATTTTCTCTGAAAAGACAGTGTTTACAGCAAAAAAGCCTGAATGTAATGATTCTACTCACCAGAACAAATTCAATAAGCTGTAGTTCTGGTGACTATAGTATCCTTTTAAGCATTATACAGGTGCCATTTCACCTTTTTATTTATAATTAAGCAAATTTTTTTCAATCTACCATCTGGATTCCTGATTTACAGCGTAATACACGGACTGAGGAGAGGGAATAATAGCTCCCCATCACCATCGGGGGAGGCACCCTTTGAGCGCGTTTAATACCTTCATCCTATTCTACAGCCGTATCCCATATGTTTTAGTCTGTATTCCATTGTATTGACATGTATGAGCGATTCCCATTGAAGATGTGGTTGCATCTTCTTGGATCTGTCTTAAAAAATTTTGACACCATAATCGTTGTAACCATTCAATAGACCTGTCACTGTGCCACTCACTCTCCTTTTGGTTATACTTTCTTTTGAGTGCTCCTGTAGAAAAATAACTAAATAGATTCATGAACAGGATTTCAGTTGATTTCAGAATACAAATTACTTATGTGTATATATACAATATAGCAGGCCACATATGCACAAATGCAACATTACAAAGCACCTACTGCACCCATAAATAACAGCACAATATGGCAACGTAAACAATTGAAATAAAAAATAGGCACTCCAAGATCTCGTTTTGGCACGGTACTACCAAAAGGTTGCCTACTCTTGACCTATTCCCTACAATGTTTTGCTTTTCACACAAGTTTTATCTTCCTAGGGAATTTTGCAGACTGCGTATATCAAACTATTGTAAAGACCCCATATTTATATTCAGCTACTGCTCACAAGCTCACTAATACCCCTCATGTATTCTTTTATCCGGCCTTTGAGAGACACACAGAGTTGAGTAGAATTGTATTCAATGTTTGTTTCTCTTTTCATCTATTTTTAGGCTGCCATTGCTTCCTTTCCACCTGTGTCCACTCCCAAGGTAAGTTTTCACAAGATGGTATTTTCTTTAAAGTATATTTATAAATATTCAACAAGTAACAAACCCTTAAAGATGAACTGTCACTTGGCTAATTTCAGCACAACCAAGTAGATAACTAAAAGTGAGCTATTGGTAATGTTAAAGACTATCTGCTCTGTGCTAATGAGGAAGCTTTAGCCTAAGCAGCCATGTGTGGCTGTGATTGGCTGAGAGTTATCAGCTGACTGATTTCTGCATATCAAGGTGCCCATTGCTGATATGAATTGGCATGGTTAGAAGAAAGTGTGTAATATCTGCCTTACCTCCAGTGGGCTGTGGGTGGACAGAAACCCTTATATAGTGACTGGACAAGCGCCTCTAGTGGTATATTTAACCCTGCAGTGTAAACATTGCAGTTTCTAAATATAATTGCAAGGTTAATATGACAGAACTGCACCCAGACCACTTCATTGAGGTGAATATGTATGGGTGACTTTAGCGGTCCTTTAACACTGAATAAAGGTGTGGTGTCATGGACTCTAGAAACTATAATCCAGTTAGATGAAATGGTTATACTACATACAGTGTTCAATTAATATAAGTGATTGCATTGCAAATGTATATTACTGTGAGGGAAAGCAATGTGATTTGAAGTACAATTTGCATTTTTATTTTTATTTTATTTTTTATTCGATTGTCCATAAAACATATATAGCATGTAGAGCTTTGTTGAAAGAGGATGGAGACAGAGCAGAGGGGGACTTATGGTGACTTTCAACTTTGAACTAATAATGGCGCTTGCTTGCAAGTAATGTTAATACAATAGTCTGCCCAGCAGGATTTAACGTCATACAAACTTGGGAACCCAAAACTATAGTGGTTTTATCATAATTGGCATCTCATTAAATATCAGTAAACAAAACCTCAATTTACATCCATGGTGGGGATTTTTTTTTTATATATATCTATATCCTCTCCTAGATTTTAACTTATTTTTCCTCTGTTTTCATCAGGTTATAACTGCTACAGCTACTTTAAGGAGAAGTTCAAGGGTAAGTACTACGGGAACTCTATAGACATTTGCAGAACTACTAATGGCCAGAACTCATCAGGTGTCCTTCATATATCATGCCACATGATAGGCAAATCTGATCAGGAGCCCTGTCGGGCGAAGTAGCCGGTCCCTGTTAGATGGGCAGTGCTGGGAGGAAGTGAGTTCAGGACTACAATACACATAAATGCAACACTGCACATAAACACACCCCAGCATTCAAACGCTACACACAAATACCAATGCATTCAAATGGCAACACTACATAAATATACACCACTAAATTCACACACACTCCATACAAGACATGCTTATATTCAAACACTGCTCAGAAATACAACCCTGCACCGATGGGCAGATGGTAGATCTCACGCTGGCAAAGCATTGTGGTAGTTACATAATAGCTGAGGATCTATCTTTTAGATACATTTGTGGTAGAGGAGGCCTAAAATTTTTTTGCACCAGTGCCCTCTAAGCATTAGTTCGGTAACTGTCTGTAGAAAACCTACTGCACCTAATGTTTCGATACTACTGTATATACTCGAGTATAAGCCGACCCGAATATAAGCCGAGGCCCCTAATTTTACCCCAAAAAACTGGGAAAACTTATTGACTCGAGTATAAGACTAGGGTGGGAAATGCAGCTACTGGTAAATTTCTAAATAAAATTAGATCCTAAAAAAATTATATTAATTGAATATTTACGGTGTGTGTGTGTGTGTGTGTGTATATAATGAGTGCGGTGTGTGTGTGTGAGTGCAGAGCCTTGGTGGGGGGTGGGCATTTTTATTATTTTTCTTAAATTATTTTAATTTTTTTGTTTTATTAATATTTTGTTATTTTTTATTTTATTATTTTTAATATTATTTTATTTATTTATTTATTCGTCCCCCCTCCTTGCTTGTTAGCTGGCTGGGGAGGGGGGTTCTCAATCCCTGGTGGTCCAGTGGCATTGGCAGTTCAGTGGAGGGGGGCTGGCAGGAAGCACTTACCTCTCCTGCAGCTCCCTTCTCCTCCGCGCTGGTCCGTTCAGCTCCTCTGTCAGCTCACACTGTAAGTCTCGCGAGAGCCGCACTATGACCCCGCAGCTCTCGCGAGACTTACACTGGGAGCTGACCGAGCTGCTGACCGGACCAGCGCGGAGGAGGAGGGAGCTGACAGGAGCTGCAGGAAGGTAAGTAACAGCTCTGCCAGCACCCAGTCTGGAATATGGCAATGTAAATTGCCATAATACAGACAGTGACTCGAGTATAAGCTGAGTTGGGGTTTTTCAGCACAAAAAATGTGCTGAAAAACTCGGCTTATACTCGAGTATATACAGTATTTGCTGTTTAATCCTTAACGTTCTCAAAAATTAGTAAATATGAAAGCAAAATTGCGGCATAACTAACAGGCCAGTAGTTTTACAACTAATCTCACACAGATGAAAATTTTATGTGTAGGCTTAGAAAAGTATGAGTACGGTTACTAGCTACATGTGGACATTAACTAGTTGTTATTTTTGCCATTTATATAGTGCCAACAGTTCCCGTAGCGCTTTACAATATTATGAGGGGGGGAATTTAACTATAAATAGGACAATTACAAGAAAACTTACAGGAATAATAGGTTGAAGAGGACCCTGCTCAAACGAGATTAGTCTATAGGAGGTGGTGTGTAAAACACAATAGGACAGGGAATAGCAATCAAAATAGGTGGGAGTGAAGCAGAGGTGGAGGAGAGAGTAGAGTGCTGCCCTTCAGGAAAGCGAAATGGACAGGTATGTGAGGTGTTTACTCTGGAAGGCCATAAGCTGTCCTAAAAAGATTGGTTGTAAGGCACTTCTTAAACGATTGGAGACTAGATGGGAGAGTCTGATGTAGGTAGGCAGGCTGTTCCATAGAAAGCGAGCCGCCCGCAAGAAGTCCTGCGAACGTGAGTTGGCTGTACGGGTGCGAGTAGTGGACAGGAGAGCGGAGAGACCGAGAAGGGTCATACCTATGGATCTGTAAAGAGATATGAGGGGCTAGAATTGGTCAATGCTTTATAGGTATGGGTTAGCATTTTGAATTGACTCCTATAGGATACAGGAAGCCAATGTAAGGACTGACAAAGGGGTGAGGTGTGAGCGGACCGATTACCGAGGAAAACCAGTCTGGCGGCAGCATTTATTTCAGACTGTAGCAGGGCAATACGGTTTTTGGGAAGACCAATTAGGGGAGAGGGTTCCAATAATCCACGCAGGAAATTACTAGGATGCGGGCCATGTTTTTAAGATTTAATCAACAGAATTTGGTAACATGCTGGATGTGAGGCTCAAAGGTGAGGCTAGAATCAAATATGACACAAAGACAGCGCACTTGCAAGGATGGACTGATGTGGATACCACTGACTTGAAGGGAGAGCAAAAGAAGAGGATCGGTATTAGGAGTAGGAAAGACCAGGAGTTCAGTTTTAGAGAGATTGTGTTTCAGAAAGCAGGAGGACATCCAGTCAGAGGTGGAAGAAAGGCAAGCAGTGACACATTGCAGGACGGCAGGGGAGAGGGTCCAGGGAAGAGCGATATCTGGGTGTTATCAGCATACAGGTGGTAGTGGAATCCAAAAGAGGTAATAAGTTTGCCAAGAGAGGCAGTATAAAGAGAAAATAGAAGGGGAACAAGGACAGAGCCTTGGGGGACTCCAACAGAGACCGGATGAATGGAGGAGTTATCATTAGAAAAGAAGACACTGAATGAGCATTGGGAGAGATAGGAGGAAAACCGAGAGGACAGTGTCACAGAGACCGAGTGATTTGAAGAGTTTCAAGAAGGAGAGCATGATCAACGGTGTCAAAGGAAGCAGAGAGGTTAAGAAGTATTAGTATGAAGTAGTGGCTTTTGAATTTAGCTGTGATTAGGTAATTAGTAACTTTGATAAGAGCAGTCTCAGTTGGGTGCAGGGGCGGAAGCCAGATTAAAGAGGGTCAAGGAGAAAGAGTTGGAATTAAGGAAGTGAGACATACGGGTAAAGACAAGTCTTTCCAGAAGCTTTGAGGAAAAAAGGAGCAGGGATATGGGATGATAGTTAGAGGGAGTGGATGGGTCGAGGAATGTTTTTTTTTCAGGATCAGTACTACAGTGGCATATTTAACGTTAGCAGGGACAATGCAAGGAGAGAGAGCAGTTGAAGATGTGTGTTAAGGAAGGCACAAGGGGAGAGAGATCTGATGAGGTGAAATAGGACAGGATTTTTACTGACCGCTATTTGTTTTCCTAAATGTCGCGACTGTGGCTTCATTTCACTACAATTTGCCGTTAAAAGAATTCATGCAATGGGGTTTTATTTACTAGAGAAGTAAAGTCTTTCACACAGGAAAAACACAAACAAGTGCTCACTTGCAGCATACATTGCTCAAGTGAAGGTAATGTTTTCATCTCAATTTAAGGCCTATCTCTCAAAGTAGTGCTGTATTATGCCTTGGACCCTTCATTCTCCTTGAGATAGTGCTTGCCTGCACAGTATGTGATCTTGCCAGTCAATGTATTCTTAACTTCTATTTACAGGTTTCACCACAATTTGAGAAAGAAAACTCATTTGTCAAGCCCCCGATGCTTTCCAAAAGTGTGACAGAACAATCCCCCTCCAAGATGGACATACTCTCTCCAATCCCACTCAACATTTCACTATCCCCTATGAAAGATGACCGAGACAAGTTAATGTCTCAGAAGGTGCGACGTTCCTACAGCCGATTGGATATGTCTTTGAATGGCAGCTCATTCCTATACAGTCCCACAAGAAATTCTTCTTCCGATAGTTCCACACCAAACTCATCAGCAAAATCTGGACGCCGGTCTCTCTTTGGGTTTAATAAACTTTTGAGTTCTGAGACACCAGAAGAAGACTTGGGAAAAACCACAAAAAGAGACTCTGGGGAGAACAGAAACACATTCAATAAGAGCACAGGAGTGAGCATATCTGTTGAAGAGCCAGATCACAATATACCTGGAGTGGTCCTTGTTAAACAGAAAAGAAGAAAACGTAAAATTCCACTTATAGAGGTAAGAATGTGCAGAACTGGTACTAGTTGAATCAATTAAAGAAGTGATAATTTACCTTTGTGTTACATGGATGTTTGAAAGTTGCCCTTTTCTTAATGCAGGACACAAAGTTGCTATGACAACCCAGATATGGGATCTGGTGCCTAGACTTGTTTTCCTGCTCTAGGACATCCCACCGGAAGTAATTTTGATTACAATGTGAAAAAAGTACAAGTAGTCAGAGCAAAAGGGATTCTGTGTGGCAGCCAAACAAACACGGCTGCCTGCTTCTGGGGTTTGTCTGTAGGTTTCATGTACTCCTCTCCCTCCAATACACCACAGCTGGCTGTTTTGTTGGTGGATGTATTTTGTTGTCCTGTCTCTTTTGCCTTCTTTACAAGCAGCAGTGCGCACAGGGAATCTGACTGCAGCCTGTTGAGGAGGCATTTAAATGACGTGAAAGTGAATGAGTGAATAAAGGCTGGAGGAATACATGTGAAGGTGGTGGGAGTCAGCAGAGTTCTAAATGGAGAGCCAGAATAAGAGTATAGCTGGAATGTACAGGCCTATTCACTAAAGTGTGAATTCAAGACCAGAGTGACTGAAAGGACTTTTCAAGTTCAGCTCTTTTGACCTTACATTTGGAATCCACCTTAAATTCTCACTTTAGTGAATAACCCTGGTAGTCTGTGTGGACAGAATCTTATCTCAGTAACTACACTACTTCTCAGTGTAATTAGATGTTACCAAGATGCCAGAAACAAAGATTCAACCAATGGCGTACCTTTTAGCCCACAGCCCAATATATCTACTAATTGGTTACAATTTTAAGAGGACACACTACATTAGAACCACTAAAGCTTATTCCGAAGGTTTTGGTGTAAAGAGACTGTTCCTGTAGTCTGATAAATGGAAACACAACCATTTCACAGCAAAGGTGTATTTACATTTGTCCCTTAGGCCACCTCTAGTGGCTGTCACTCAGTTGCTAGAGGTGTTTCCTGTAATATTTGTAGGACTGACATTCTGCATGAAGATGCCATATACTCCCTGTAGAGATGCACTTGTATAATGATCTCTTTGAAGAGATGCTGGTTGGTATGGCATGTTTAACAACGCATCTGTATGGGAAAGTGCTGCGCTTCTCCATTCCTCTCGCCCCACCACTTGCCCGCTCGATCCTGTCCCATCCCACCTCATCAGATCTCTCTCCCCTTGTCTTGTGCCTACCCTAACACACATCTTTAACTGCTCTCTCTCTCTTCTGGCACTGTTCCTGCTGACCTTAAACATGCCACTGTAGTACCTATCCTGAAAAAAAATCTCTTGACCCATCCTTCCCCTCTATCGTCCAATATCCCTGCTCCCTTTCTCATCAAAGCTTTTGGAAAGACTTGTCTTTACCCGTGTGTCTCGCTCCCTCAATTCCAACTCTCTCCTTGACCCTCTTCAGTCTGGCTTCCGCCTTCTCCACTCTACTGAGACTGCTCTCATCAAAGTCACTAATGACCTAATCGCAGCTAAATCCAAAGGTCACTACTCCATATTAATTCTCGTTGATCATGCTCTCCTCCTTCAAACTCTTCAATCGCTCGGTCTCTGTGACTCTGTCCTCTCTTGGTTTTCCTCCTATCTCTCCCAACGCTCATTCAGTGTCTCCTTTCCCGAGCATACCTCCTCCCCTCGTCCTGTCTCGGTTGGAGTTCCCCAAGGCTCTGTCCTTGTTCCCCTTCTATTTTCTCTTTATACTGCCTCTCTTGGCAAGCTTATTGCCTCTTTTGGATTCAACTACCACCTGTACGCTGATGACACTCAGATATACCTCTCCCCTGCCGTCCTGCAACGTGTCACTGCTTGCCTTTTTTCCATCTCTGATTGGATGTCCTCACGCTTTCTGAAACTCAATCTCTCTAGAACTGAGCTCCTTGTCTTTCCTCCTCCTAATACTGATCCTCCTCTCTCGCTCTCCCTTCAAGTCAGTGATATCCACATAAGTCCATCCTTGCAAGCACTCTGTCTTGGCGTCATACTTGACTCTCTGGCCTCACCTTTGAGCCTCCCGTCCAGTTTGTTGCCAAATCCTGTAGGTTCCAACTCAAAAACATAGCCCGCATCCGCCCCTTTCTTACTCAAGATGCGATCAAAGAGCTTGTCCATGCTCTAGTAATTTCCAGCATGGATTACTGTAACCCTCTCCTGATTGGTCTCCCCAAAAGCCGTATTGCCCCACTACAGTCTGTAATGAATGCTGCAGCTAGACTGATTTTCCTCTCTAGTCTGTCCTCTCACACATCACCCCTCTGCCAGTCCTTACGTTGGCTCCCTGTATCCTATAGGAGTCAATTCAAAGTGCTAACCCATACATTTAAAGCACTGAACAATTCTAGCCCCTCTTATATCTCCTCAATGATCCATAGGTATGCCCCTCCTCGTTCTGTCCGCTCTGCCCGTGACCACCTCCTGACCGCTGCTCGCATCCGTACAGCCAACTCGCGCTTGCAGGACCTCTCACGGGTGTCTCCTTTCTTATGGAATAGACTGCCTACCGCCATCAGACTCTCCCCTAGTCTTCAATCATTTAAGAGCTTTAAAACCCATATCTTCAGGAAAGCTTATGGCCTCCCAGAGTAACCTCTACCTTACATACCTGTCTCTTTCTCTCTCCTATAGGGCAGCACTCTACTCTCTCCTCCAGCTCTGCCTCACTCCCACCATATTTGATATTTCCTGTCCTAACGTGTCTTATACCCCACCTCATATACACTGTAAGCTTGTTTGAGCAGGGTCCTCTTCAACCTATCGTTCCTGTAAGTTTTCTTGTAATTGTCCTATTTATAGTTAAATACTCCCTCTCATAATATTGTAAAGCGCTACGGAATCTGTTGGCGCTATATAAATGGTAATAATATCACTATTGATGCAACAACTGCAGCAGTGGATGTAAAACGTGTTTGATTATTTTCATCCCACCAGCCTTCTTCTTACACGGGAAGCCCTACATCTAAGTAAAGGAGTATGTCGAACATTAAAAATGCATGTTTGTATTTTGAATGTTGGACTGCTCTTTTAAATTGTTTCTTTGTTAAATTTATTGTGTGTGTGTGTGTGTGTGTGTGTGTGTGTGTATATATCCTCTTCTCCCTCCTCCCTTCCTTCACACCCTCTCCTCCCTCCCTTCCCCTTCACCTCAGGTAAGTGGATGGTTAATACATTGCTAAACACAAAACAACACACCAGTCAAGCCATGAGACTTGCTTTTCCCACAGAAATCTCACTTTAACAGTGCTCTCATTACTGCAAGGGATTCTGGGTAGGTATATGCAAATGAGCTCAACAAAGAACCACATTTTTGCCTCATAATTCCACTTTATATGTAGATTCCTTGGAGCTTTGAAAAACTACTCAGGAAGAGGAGCAAAGCCAGTGAACCACTCATGGACAGCTGTTTTGTTGTTAATGCAACTGGCTTGCTATGGAGGCTTGGTGTTACCTGTAAAGTACATACCAATTGAGTTGTGGTGGGGAAAAAAGTGTGAATGAAAAGTCTTTTCATTTATTTTAAGCAATGTATTAAAATAAATGTATGATTGCCTGGTAGGTGGTGGTGACTTGGACTGATGGAAGGTAGACCGCATGTACGGCTCAAATAGTACATTTGTTTGTAAAATATATTTTCATGTATTTTGTTTTTTTCACTTTAATAGAAATCTGACCTGGATGAATGGGCTGCTGTCATGAACGCCGAATTTGAAGAAGCAGAAAAATTTGACCTCTTTGTGGAATAAAAGGCTTATCCCCATTATTGGTTCACTGACTGAGAATACAAATATGTACTTGATCTACATGTGATGTGTAGATGTTCCTTTATTTCCGCTCTTTTTGTATATGGTTTTGATGTCGTGGGAAGCATTTTATACAGGATTCAGCTTATAGAAGTATTTCTTCATCTTTTCAGTAAGCAAACAAAATTTTGTTTGACAATACATGTGTTGATAAAACGAGTCTTTAAAAACAATGCAAACTCCAGTTTAATAGTGTCCTAGCTCTACGGGAAATGGATCTCGATAATGGAAACCGCTCACCGTATATTCATTTCATGTACCAAATAATGGAGAGAACTGCCCGTTGTCTTTAGAATAGATTTGGTCCTTCTTGGAATGCTGTCGTCATACAATTCCTGAACCATATGTAGTGGGATGTTGCACTACCAAGGCTCCAGTTCTCCCAGGAATCAGAATTGGAAAGCTGATCCAAATTACACCCTATTTTGCAACAATGAAGACTTCACTATAAGATTTGAAAATTCATTCTCTGACATGTCATGCTGAAAACCTAACTAATCTAACTTATCTTGCAGCAGGGTTTGTAATTGTGCTTTAATTATGTTGGACTTTTTTCATGTTCGGTTTGTTTAGACCACCATCATTGGTATGTTTCAGACATATGTTCTGTGTCAACCCATATTTTCTCTGCCTTTAAGTTACCGTTGCAACAACTTTTTGGAAATCTGACGAACTAATATATCTTTCTTTTAATTCTCCCATTACTTTTATATAATATTCAGTCTGTTTTATTAAAGCTAATGTATCAAGAGGAATTGTAATTTCTATCTATACACTGTGATGTGTACCCTTTCCTGATAGCTTAGGAATCCTGGCAGTCAATGCCCAAATCTAAGTTTTCTAGATTGATAATTTCAAGCAAAAAGATTTTACTGGTACCTTAGTGAACTGTAACAACGTATAAAGGTTTTATTTTTGTGACACATAATGTATATTAGTATACAATACCTGTCAAGCGTGCAAATAACTGTGTATATGACAAATACACAATGAAGACCATATCACTCTACAAATTTACTTAAACTCAAATAAAGTAGACTTGTTTTTTCATGAACTTTTTTATTTTTACTAAGCAGTTATGCAGTTTAATATAGTTTATCTATATTTTATATCCTTTTGTGGGAACAGAAGTTGTTGACAGATGTGCGCCTTACTATCAAAGCAACCAGACCTGCTCAAAAGTGGTGAACTTATTGGTAACTTTACCTTCAATATAAAACTTTGTGGTTACTTTGTGTTTAGCTAGCCTTTTGTACATGCTATTTTATATTTATTATGGTTTATTTCTGGAACCGCAACAGAGGATCCAAAAGTAGGGAAGAATAATCTTTGTATAATTTTCTATGCTTTTCTAACATTCACTTATGCTAAATTGAGAATTCCTAGCTAAGTTTGAAAATGTCGTTTGGCTATTTTTAATTTTATGTTGAGTTCATGCAAAACATATTAGCCATTTATAATAATTAAAATATGGTGTAAGCGCTTCTCGGTGCAAGGAGAGATCTGACTGCCATTCTGCGATAGAGTAGGAATATTTTAAACTAGTTTTGTTAAATTGGAAAGCATGTCAAATGGAGTGGGTTTTTCTTTTAGTTTTTTTGGGGACTTTGTTTTGGAACAACCTCAGAAACCGATTTAAGAAGAACTCTGCTAGACTATATAATTTTTCTGTCTGGACTTAAACACTCCAAGTTGGAATTGACATCAAAAACAATCTGTTAAAGAAGAATAAAAAAATATTTGATCCTTCATTTTATGCAAATCTCCAGTGTGGGCAGGGTTTGCAATCATCCAACCAGAAAAATGACTAATACATGTCATACTTTTTATTAGCACTGCTGTGCTTTTCCTAAGCATTGGTTTATGGTCATATCTAGGGGTTCTGGGAATTGCAAATCTGCTATTTTCCTAAATAAAAAAAGTTCAGATATGATATGATAGCATTGCTTTTGGAGCAATAATGTAAACTGTTGGATATCTTATTGGGTAGAAACAAAGACTTGTGCCCATCAGCCTTTCTCCTGTTGATCCAAAAGAGAAAAAAAGAACAGGGAAAAGGTTAGAAACTCCATAGCTTGCCCTTCAGTTAATACCCACTCAGGTCTCAAATATTTTTTTTGGCTCACTCGCCATTACAGAGAGAACCTTTACCATTTGCATGTCAGACTCCTATCACCCATAAGGGCAATCCAGATCTGAAATGCAAGCAAGTTAATCTGCGCAAGAGATACAGCAACCCCAGATGATCATTTTGGCCTTATACCCTAGAGGGTTATCAGACTAACCAAAGGGCAAGCTACAGAGGTTTCTCTGAGCTTTTGCTTGATTTCAGAGTTCTCATATTCTGTTTTTTTTTTTTTTTTGTGATCCACAAGAAGGTAAACTTCCCTGTTTGAAGTGCATTCCAGCTTTGCAACTAACTAGCAAATACATTCCTCCTTGACCGCAGAATGGCAGTCAGATCTCATCTTGGATCAAGAAGCTGCTAGTCAATATATTAAATATTATGTTTTTGCATGAATTCTTCTAGTTGCTGTTTAAATATTTGTACAGACTCTGGTAAAACCATCTCTTCAGGCAGAAAATTACACATCGGTCTTTTCCTTTGCCTTAGACTAATTATCCTTTCTTCCAGTTTAAATGTGTGACCTAGGTCCTATCTATAGTCCTATATTTGAATAGAATAGACAAAAGGGCAGTCAAAATTAATTGGGTAATTGTAGCTGAACATGTTACAACAAATGTTGATACCTGGAGTGTCTCTTGAAAGGTATACTATAGGCATCAAAACAACTTTTAGCTTAATGTAGTTTGGCTGTATCAGATGATAACTTACTTTAGAAGTTTCTCTTGCTCTGTAAATTGAACTTCAGGAGGCTCCTAAAGGGTCTAGACAGCTATTTAAGTTTAAACATTAGATGTATTTTTACAGGAAGTGTCTAAAAATGATGTGTAAGTCACTTGCAGGAAGGTGTGACTAGGGCTACATAAACAAAGTAAATTAACTTATAAATGGCAGAGGAGCAGCAGTATGACTGCATGATCTATATACACACACCAAAACAGCTTTATTAAGCTAAAGTTGTTTTGCTGCCCACAGTGCCCCTAAAGTCTGTTTTAGAGAGAGTTGCATAAATGTGTTTTTAAAAAAAAAAATCATATTCACTGTATATATCTAAAACTGTTTAAAAGCAAGAACCCATTAATTATAGTATGCCATTTTTGCATTTGAATGACATGTGCATACTTCTAATGTTATATCAACCTATTAAAGCTTGCCAAAATTCAAAGAAATGGATTTAATATATGGATCCCAATTAAACTTTGTTCAATATAGATCTGAGCAAATATGATGTTTTGAATTGAGGATAAAATCCTAACACGTGACCGTTGTTATACACTGAAATGTAATGAATAGAAATTTAGGCTACAAAAATAAGATTAAGTTTAGCTGGAGAATTTCTACATAACACCTGTTTGTGGCAGATTAACTGCATGCCCAAATTTATGCAATTTGTAGTTGTAGCTGTGAATAAACCTTCAAATGAATTTCCCTTGCATGGAAAAATAGGAAATCATTCATTTTAATACTGTCCTGATTCAACCTTACTATCGTATGGAAAGACAGAACCATTTCCAAAGCATACCAGACTAATCCCACCCATTGGAGCAGTTCAGAACCAAGATTCTTAGGAGCCACTCTAATTTTGCCTAGAAGCATTAGTCCCTTATGTGGGACTTGGTGTATAGGTGCAGTGTCGGGATATTCGCAAACCCTTCAACAGCAGAGAAATATACAGCAGCAGGCTTTGATGTGTAAACTAGTAAATGGAAAAAATAATTAACCAGTTACTAAGGGATTAAAAAATTTTTTTTTTAAATTCAGAATATTTTTTTATTTTTTGTTTGTATGCAAATGGGACTTCTCATCACAAAACCATCTGCAGAATAACACATTTTTTAAATGTCGATTGGCATGTAATATTTTCATCGCGTATTCTAAGCTGCTACACAAATCTCAACATGATTCCTTTCCCACAAATGCTATCATGTTCCAAGCCAATATTTTGTACCTGACTACGTAAGTATGTAGAAGCTCTGCTGCACAGTGAGTGACATCAGTTTTCCAGAGAGTACTGAGATTTACACTTTTGAATGAGTGGCAGGACCTGCTGACTGCTTGAAATCCAGGGAGTGTAACAATGTTCATTTATAGAGGAGCATTGGGGACTTGATGCGCGTGTGCGGAAAGCACCTTGCAATCATCTCATTTTCCAATAGGAAAAATCACTGTTTTCATTGTTGACTGCAGTACTGCAGCAGGAAGCACCTCTAGTGGCTGTCAGAATGATTGACACTGGATGTGTGTTTAATGTAGGGTTACATAACTGGGTTAATCCTACCGGACCATACAGCCAGGTCACTTAATCTCAATCCAATGCTTTTCTAACGAATTAATGCATCTCTATGGGGAATATTCAGCATCTCCATGCAGAGCATAGAGTTGCTGAATGTAAGAAGCACGTGTAGTGGCTGTCTGAGTAAATGCAACTAAGACTGAAAAGGAGGTGTTTATAGTGCTAAGGCGGCAGGGACAGGCTGTAGACACCAGAACCACTACATTAAGCTGTAGTGGTTCTGTCGATTATAGTGTCTCTCTAACTGCATTATAAAAATAGGAGAATTACAATGTACGGTACATAGTTTTGTGACCACTGGAGGGTGCTGGTGAGTTTGTTTTGAACCAAGCACTAGATCTACCTAATGTCTTCTAAATGTAGCTCTCTCAGTAATGAGTGAGACCACTAGCTACATACCTGGCAATAAAATGTTAGGAATTTATAAATATAGACTTTACTCTCATCTCTTTTTCATATTGATGTTTTAGCATTTCTTGGAAATTTCAAATAAGACTACCCATCCCTTCAGTATTTCAACTTTAACAAGGAAAGTGTAGGGAATGTACCATCTATGATACAAGAAATCTGTGTTCATTTTCTTAAAGGGAACCTAGTGCCAGGAAAACAAACTCGTTTTCCTGGCACTACAGCTTCTGTCACTTACCTGGGTCCAGCCCCGACGTCAACTGGCGGGGGAGACCTAATGCGCATGGATCGCAATGGCAGCGCTCACATTGGGATTTTCCCATAGGAAAGCATTAGGATGCTATCCTATTGGGATTCAGGTGATGCTGGAAGTCCTCATGCATAGCGTGAGGACGTCCAGCATCATTTAGGCGACCGGAAGTCCCTCTAGTGGCTGTCCCGTAGACAGCCACTAGAGGATGAGTTAACCCTAGCAGGTAATTAGTGCACTTTATTAAAACTGCAATAATTACATGCTCAGGGTTAAGGGTGATTGGAGTTTGCACACAGACCACTTCAATGAGTTGAAGTGGTCTGGGTGCCAACAGTGTCCCTTTAATACTTGAATATTAATACTTGAGGAAATTGTTATAGATGTGGTGTATTTGTTTTTTAATATGAATAATACAAATTCTGCCAACTTTATTCAAATGGCACCACACCAACACCCACAGACACCATGCGGCATTTCAAATTACAGATGTACAAATAAGACAACTGGCTTATACATTGCACTAACATGACACTATTATAACTTGTTTGACATACACAACATCTACAGATATCAATTCGCACATAAAACACAAATCTTATGTGTCACCAATTACAATTATTTACATAGCCCCAACATATTTCACAGCACCGTACAATAAGTAAAACTAGAATTAAAAAATGCTAAGAAACCATGTTTGGTACACATGAACTTTACATTGTACAGCACTACCAAATATATTGGTGAGATACATATACAGTGTGTATGTATGTATGTAATAAAAGAAAATAAATCCAGCCAATGGTCCAACTGGTAACCCCAAAGTAGAAACTTATATAGTGTACCAACAGAAACTGGGATATAATATACTATTAACTAGAGTGCCAGCTAACTTCCAGACTTGGAACAGTTAAAAGAAAAAATGAATATTAAATAATCAAATGAGAAACTTATTATATACAGTGGTGCTCGTGTACAATAAGTGAGTGAACCAACAGGGAAATGCAATATCTAGTGAATGCAACCAGCTATTATGGTAACATAAAGTTCTGCTATTCGTGTAAGGTTAGGCTCAATAAAAACAGAAACTGCCTGTTAGCAATAATGTTGAACTGCCTATTTGCAGTAATGTACAGATAGCAACTTGCTAGTTAACCCTTAGTACTGGTTGGTATCAACTAGGTAGGGATCAAAAACAACCTGTTAAGGGATCATGCTATATGATTAGTCAAAATCTGATATGGATATCTCCTTGCACAGATCTGTGCCAGGGTATATAACAGTTAAATTCAGCAAGAGGGGAGAGTCACATAGCAATAGGAATATACATAATGGGAGGAAAAAACTAAGCGGTGAGTCAGAGTGAATGCTGAATCTTAAAATCGTCTGAGTATCTATCTGACTGTGTGAGATGCCTATTGGTTGCTTTGGCAGATAGCCATTTGAATAGGTATTCAAATAATACTACGAGAACGGAAATATGAGTACTGTGGTGAATACAATGAAATTTTCACCGCTAGTGTGATCACTGTAAATTCCCTTCCGTGCCAAAACGGGCACCTCTTTCTATTCCCACACTCGATGACAGATACGCTAAAATAATCCTCCCGTGCCTTGAACTTTTTTCTCTACTCAACTATTTAAAGCGGCACTGTAATGGCAGCATCCTTTAAAAACCTCCCCCGCCCCCTCCTGACGTCTCAACATTTTATTGTACCCTTAGTCATCCCCAAATGCCCCTAGTTCCCCCAATTTTTTTTTTTTACCTCATTTTTTTGTCTGCATCTATGTCCAACTTAATGTTTTCTGGATGACGTGTACCGCGGACCCTTCATCTTTCCACACTAGCTTGGTCTGTGAAATTCCCGTGCATGCACAGTTGAACACTTGGGCATTTGTGATTGTCCGGATTTTGATTATTCGTCCATTCGTCAGAAAGATGAATGAATAGAAATGAGAAAGAATGAACATAGATGGAATTGAAATTCAGTCTTTGTTCGTTCAGTATATTACAAAGAGGTAGCTACCCGCTTGCGGCTCCCTCCTTGTAATATATAAAATAGAAGAGGCGGGGGGCTGTGCTCTCCTCCACATCCTAAATTCCCCCTATGTCCCCCTCACTCTATGAGGGTTAATATGACCCCACATATTGCCATAAGGGAGGTTAAAATCTCCCTTCTGTCCCTATAGGGGCATGTATACTAAACAGTGAGAAACCAGTGGCTGCTCCAGGATATACCATTTAATTCAGAAGGTGACAAATGGAGGAGAAATGATAAGTTTCCAGAGGAAATGGATGAATACTTTACATATACAAATATCTGAGAATGATTGGACAAATACTTTTCAGAAAGCAATGAAGGCCTCAATAATCAACAAAAAGAAATCTTTTTATAAATGCCTAGCACGGTAGTACAGAACCCCTGTGAATATTCATGCTTTTAAACTGTTCTATAGTGACCAGTGCTGGAGATGTGAGGAGTAAAGGGGCAACATTAAACACATTTGGTGGTTTTGTAAAAAAAAAAATACAGACGTATTGGGCACCAGTTATTAATTTGATTAAAGAGGTGCTTCCTTTTAAGTTTTCGGTTGTCGGTTGGCCATGTACTTTTTCAGATACTCATAAAGAAAAATTATTATGGCTATTATTGGGGGGAAGCTAATGCGATTGAATGCCTCTATTTAATGGTTTAGATGTTACAGTGACGTAGAATCCCATTTAGCAAATAAATAAAATGGGCTGGCATTCATTAATTTATTCTTTCCACATATGGAGGTATATTTTTATTTTAATTGTAAAATATTCTTAATTCTAATATAGTATTTAATAGATCATAACTGAGATACATGGGTTTTTGTACATTATATTGCTGATTTATTTATTCATCTATTTATTTTCTTTATTTACTAATATGTTTTTGTATGTTTGTTCTCTCTTTTCTTTGTTTTTAGCAATTTGTTAGATATTGTAAAACAAATGTATTGATAGAATCTATATATATATTGTGACCTTATCATTGATTATTGGCGATAAACATATGTCCTGTTATGCAATTTTGAAAATCACAATAAAATTTAATAAAAAAATAAAAATACCCGTGCCCCATCTTCACCCAGCGAGGGCTGCGCTCAGACTGAGCTTTGCAAGGGGGGAAAAGCTTATAAAGCCTTTCCACGCCATGCAATTTCACTCAGAGTGCTCTAGGTCCTCCCCCCATTGTCACT